CACGCCGCTTAGTCGGCCAGTGGCGGTCTCCCTGGCGGACCCCTCTGGGGGTCCTGTTCTGGCTCGCTACTCCACTGTCCTGCCGTGCCCTGCGGTCCCGTCTGGCACCCTGTCCGGTCTCTACCTCCCCTCGTTCTCTACAAACTTGGTGGCGGGTGCTGACCTACAGGATGCAGGGGTCGACCAGTTCACCCCTGCACGCCGACGGGACACCCACTGCACGGACGCGGACACGGGTCGACACTTGACCACGTTCACATGTGGGCCGGGGTCGAGCCTGTACACACTCACTGTTCCGTCTCCTCCTCCTGCGTCTGGTCAGGTAGCTGCGTCGGGTCAGGTGTTTGCTGCAGCGTCCAGGTCTGGTCCTGAGTCTGCCCCCTGCTCGTGTCGCCTCCTGTCCCACGAGACCCTCCTGTGGCACCACAGGATGGGTCACCCCTCCCTGCCTCGTCTCCGGGGCATGGCCTCTCGCCTTCTTGTCTCTGGCCTTCCCCGGTCCCTCCCTCCCCTTCCTCAGGGGCCTGGCCCTCCCTGTGTCCCCTGTGTCGAGGGTCGCCTGCGGGCTACCCCTCACTCCTCCCCGTTTCCTCCGACGGAGGCCCCGATGCAGACGCTTCACATGGACGTGTGGGGCCCAGCCCGCGTCCGTGGACAGGGTCACGAGCGCTACTTTCTGCTGGTGGTTGACGACTACTCGCGTTACACCACAGTCTTCCCCTTGCGCAGCAAGGGTGAGGTCACTGAGGTGTTGATCGACTGGATCCGCGCAGCTCGTCTCCAGCTCAGGCGGAGCTTCGGCTCGGACTTTCCTGTTTTGCGTCTGCACTCAGGACAGAGGCGGAGAGTTCTCCTCCGGCCTTCTGCGAGCCTACTGTCGTGCACGAGGCATCCGCCAGACCTTCACGCTTCCGGACTCTCCACAGCAGAATGGGATTGCTGAGCGCCACATCGGCATTGCCATGGCCGTCGCCCGTACGTCCATGGTGCATGCGGCTGCCCCCCATTTTCTGTGGCCGTTTGCGGTTCGGTACGCCGCACATCAGATCAACCTTCAGCCCAGGGTCTCCAAACCGGAGACCTCCCGAGCTTTGCTGTGGACGGGGAAGGTTGGTGATGCGTCGGCGTTCCGTGTCTGGGGATCTCGGGCGTTTGTCCGCGACTTGTCTGCGGACAAGCTGTCCCCTCGTGCTGCTCCTTGCGTCTTCCTGGGTTTCCCCCCTGACGCACCTGGGTGGCAGTTTTACCACCCCACCTCTCGTCGTGTTCTGTCCTCCCAGGACGTCACGTTCGACGAGTCGGTTCCCTTCTACCGGCTCTTCCCCTACCGCACTCCGTCCCTCCCCCCCCCCCGCCCCTCTTCCTGGTCCCAGGTCCCCCCCCGGTAGACCCCCTCCCCCCTCAGGGTCCTGCCCCTTCAGGTGTGTCTCAGGTAGACGCGGTCGAGCCTGTCGAGGTCACTGGTGACTCTGGTGCTGCTGCGGGTGCGGAGCCTCGGGGTGCTGAGACTGGGGGTGCTGAGACTGGGGGTGCTGAGCCTGGGGGTGCTGAGACTGGGGGTGCTGAGCCTGGGGGTGCTGAGCCTGGGGGTACTGAGCCTGGGGGTGCTGAGACTGGGGGTGCTGAGCCTGGGGGTGCTGAGCCTGGGGGTGCTGTGCCTGGGGGTGCTGAGCCTAGGGGGTTCTGCGTCTGGGATTGCTGGGCCTGCTGCTTCTGTTCCTGGTGGTTCTCCAGACCGTTCTTCGCGCCGCGAGCCGCTCTCTCCTCTGGAGCTGCGTGAGTGGTTTGCCCGGCGCTGGAGGCGAGCTGCTGGAGCCGGGGGTACTGCGGGTGCTGGAAGTTCCGTTGCTGCCAAGGGAGCTGGTACCACGGGTCCCGGAGGTGCTCGTACTGAGGGTACTGGAGCTGCCGGGCCCGGGGGTGCCTCTGGAGCTGGAGCTGCTGCGGGTGCTGGCGCTGAGGCTACGACTGTCGGTCCTACTGTGGGTACTTCTGCAGCTGCTGGTGGTGCTGGAGTTGGAGCTGCTACTGGTGTTGGTGCTGCCTCTGGAGGTGTTGGTGCTGTCCCTTGCTGTCTCTGGCGGTGCTGCGCGGCCTCGGCCGTACTTCGTTCCGCTCCTTCAGCAGGTTCTTGGTCTCCCGCCTTCCACAGGTCCTTCTCCTCCCGTAGAGTGTCCGCAGCCTGTCCCGTCACAGTCACAGTTACAGCCCGCCTCTCCCCTGCCTTCTCCTTCTCCCTACGCTGGTCCTACTGGAGGTCTTGCTGAGCGTCGTGAGCCTGCGTCCCGCCCTGCATCGCCAGTCCGAGCTGCTCGCTCTAGTGGTCGCGGTTCGCGTCAGCGTCCTCCTCCTGTCCCTGGCACACACCAGATGTCTCTGCGTCCGTCCACTGCTCCTCTGCGTGCCCCTTTGCCTTCTCCTCCTCAGTCTTCTCTTCCTACACTTGCCGACCCGGAGTCGGACTCTCGCCGTGCTGCCAGTCCTACTGTCACGCGTCTTCTTGCTTCTCTTGTCACTGACCCTTCCTTTGAGTCCGCTGCTGCGTCTGCCCTAGTTGCTGAGCTGGTCGACTTTGCTGCTGCGTGTCGTCTGGACTACGCTGCCAGTCTTGTTGCTGAGTCTGCTGAGTCTGCTGAGTCTGCGTCTGCTGCGTCTGCGTCTGCCTGTCCTCCGTCCGTCGGGGGTGACTGTGCTCTTGGCACGGACGTCCTTGAGGACAGGCAGGAGGAGTTCCAGTGCTTTGCCGCCGCTTTGCCCCATCTCGTGTCCATGCTTGTTGCCCCGGAGGGAGACCCGGATGCTCTAGACATCCCGACCCCACGCTCTTACGCAGAGGCGATGGCCGGTCCCTACTCCTCTCAGTGGCAGTCAGCCATGGACGCAGAGATGGCTTCCTGGAAGTCCACAGGCACCTACGTTGACGCTGTCCCCCCTCCTGGGGCGAACATCGTCAGTGGCATGTGGATCTTCAGGGTGAAGCGGCCGCCGGGTTCTCCGCCTGTCTTCAAGGCGCGTTACGTGGCTCGTGGCTTCAGTCAGCGACAGGGAGTTGACTTCTTTCAGACCTTCTCCCCGACCCCGAAGATGACCACTCTTCGGGTTCTACTGCACGTCGCTGCTCACCGTGACTACGAGCTACACTCTCTTGACTTCAGCACTGCTTTCCTGCAGGGCCGCCTTCACGAGGAGATCTGGCTGCGCCGCCCTCCTGGCTTCACTGGGTCGTTCCCTCCTGGTACCCAGTGGAGCCTCCGGCGGCCAGTCTACGGTCTCCGCCAGGCGCCGCGTGAGTGGCACGACACACTGAGGACTACACTTGCGGCTCTTGGGTTTGCTCCTTCTACTGCTGACCCGTCGCTGTTTCTGCGCACCGACACCTCGCTGCCGCCGTTCTACATCCTCGTGTACGTCGACGACTTGGTCTTTGCCACTGCGGACACTGCCGCACTCGCCCACGTGAAGTCCGAGCTGCAGAAGAGACACACGTGCACAGATCTGGGTGAACTGACAAGCTATCTTGGCTTGCGGATCACCCGGGACAGAGCACGCCGCACCATTACCCTGACTCAGTCACACATGGTGCAGCAGGTCCTTCAGCGCTTCGGCTTCACGTAATCCTCGCCTTAGTCCACTCCTCTGCCTACGGGACACTCGCTCTCAGCTCTGCCTTCGGATGAGTCCGTAGAGTCGAGTGGTCTGTATCCAGAGCTTGTGGGCTGCCTCATGTACCTGATGACCTGCACTCGACCTGACCTCGCATACCCTCTCAGCATCTTAGCACACTATGTTGCTCCCGGCCGTCACCGGAAGGAGCACATGGATGCAGCTAAGAGGGTGTTGCGCTACTTGTGCAGTACGTCGGGCATGGGGCTAGTGCTTGGAGGGCGTGAGCGGCCTGTGCTCACTGGGCACTCTGACGCTTCTTGGGCTGACGACCAGGCTACTCAGAGGTCGTCTCAGGGTTACACCTTTAGTCTTGGCTCTGGCTCTGTCTCTTAGCGCTCTACTCGCTCTTCTTCGGTTCTCAGCTCCAGCTGTGAGGCTGAGATCTACGCCACGGCCATGGCTGTCCAGGAGCTTCGCTGGCTCACCTACCTGCTGACTGACCTTGGAGAGCGGCCTCGTTCTCCTCCAGTGCTGTACGTCGACAACAAGGCAACCATTGCCTTGTGTGAGGAGCACAGACTGGAGCACAGGACGAAGCACATTGCTCTGCGCTACTTCCTTGCTCGAGAGCTGCAGCAGCGTGGTCAGCTTCGCCTGCGTTTCGTCGCCACTGAGGCCAACACTGCTGATGTGTTCACCAAGGCACTTCCGCCTCGTGACCATCAGCGCTTTTGCACTCTGCTAGGCCTTGTGCCCACTGGGCCTCACTTGCTTACCTCTTGACCTTGCTTGTACTGCTGCATATATATATCCTTGCTCTTGCTTGTTTAGCACTGTTATATATATATGCTCTGCTGCATGTGAACTGGCCTTGTGGCCTTGACCTTGTGCTCGGAATTTGTGTGGTATCCTTGAGATCCACCCTGAGCTTGCTTTGCTTTGCTTTGCTTTGCTTGACTGGTCTTGTGACCCCTTGCTCTCCCCCACTTTGCCTATGGGGGTGTGTCAGATGATTATATTACTGATGCATATATTTAGGCTGTAGTGGGGTAGCCCATAGGGGGTACAACCCAATTAGGGTTGGTACTTGTACTTGTTTCATTTCATAGTGCACACATTCCTCGCCTCTATCTCAACAGTTCCATCGCAAGGCCAACTTCAATATCAAGCTGGTCCTGGGTTCATAACTCCCTGATTTCTACTCCCTTACTCCGTAGTCTTTTTCCACACGCATAGTATAGCGGAAAGCATATGTGCTTGAGTCATAGGCACGGAATTATCGACGACTGCGTTTATTCGCATGAATAGGTGATTTAGTATTTCGTAGCCTAGTAGCGCAGTGCTTTTTTTCCCGCCAGTAGCACAATCGTCAACCTCCGCATCGCCGTCAGCCCATGTCGCCTTTCCCTCGCCATTACCTTCGCCCCCCCTTTACCCGTCGCACTTCGCGTACCCTCCCCGTTTCCCCTCCCATCACCCACTTCGTTACATTCTCGCTCACCCTGAAACGCCCTCTCGTCGCCCTTCCTTTCTCCCCTCCCGTCACCCACCTCGTCGCCTATGCGCTCGCCTCGAAATCGAGGCGCACTCTTGTCGCCTCCCACGTCTCCCCTCCTATTATCCACATCATCGTCGTCGCCCTAAGCCCGCAATGCCCTCTTGTTGCGCACAGTCGACTCTCCTCGCCCATCGCCCTGCCGCTGGCCTTGAAACGCCCTCGCGGCTCCCTTCTTCACTCCCCTCCCATTACCCACTTCGTCGCCTTTGCGCTTGCTCTGAGCCGCCCTCCCGTTGCCTATCATCCCTCCACTCCCATCCCGTCGCCCTCGTGTTCCCCTCTCATCTCGCCCTCGAACCGGGCTCTTGTCCAGTAGCCCTCATTGTTTCTGTCGCCCTCTCTCTCCTCTTCCCTCACATTGTTTCTCTCTGTTTTTTCCCTCCTTTTGGTTTTCTCAGCGATTTTGCCGCCCTCTCTCAGGCCCAAAGTCTTCATACGCAGCAAATAATCCTAACCTCTCTCGCTCTTTGCAGAACCTTCACAAGCTGCCACCGCGCTTGTGCTTGTCACCTTCCCCCGCCATCGCGCTCACGTTCTCCCCTTCCCCCGCCATCGCGCTCACGTTCTCCTCTTCCCCCGCCATTGCGCTCACGTTCTCCCCTTCCCCCGCCATCGCGCTCACGTTCTCCCCTTCCCCCGCCATCGCGCTCACGTTCTCCCCTTCCCCCGCCATCGCGCTCACGTTCTCCCCTTCCCCCGCCATCGCGCTCACGTTCTCCCCTTCCCCCGCCATCGCGCTCACGTTCTCCCCTTCCCCCGCCATCGCGCTCACGTTTTCCCCTTCCCCCGCCATCGCGCTCACGTTCTCCCCTTCACCCGCCATCGCGCTCACGTTCTCCCCTTCCCCCGCCATCGCGCTCACGTTCTCCCCTTCCCCCGCCATTGCGCTCACGTTCTCCCCTTCCCCCGCCATCCCGCTCACGTTCTCCCATCTTCGCACCACCTTCGCGCTCATGGTCTCCCCTCCCATCTCCCTCGTGCTCACGTTCTCGTCTCTCATAGCCTTCTCGCTCGCACCTCCCGTCCCTTCCTGTTTCTCTCGTGTTCTCCCGTCCCGTCCCGTCGCCTTCGCGCTCGCACCTCCCGTCCCGTACCGTCGCCCTCGTGCCCTCCCCTCCCCAATGCCCCTCCCATCACCCAACCAGTAACCTTTGGGCCCTTGTTCTCTCCCTCTCCCCTCGCGTCCGTGTTTCCGTCGGCCTCTCACTCTCCTCTTCCGACTCCTTGACTCACTTTCTTTATCACCTTCTCCTGTTTGTTTTTCTCTGCATAATTCACACCCCCAAACCCATTCCTACAGCTCTCGCTTTTTGCAGAAGGCTCAGGCGCTACCGATGCAAGTGTTTGTCTCTGCATGTGGAATTCCCACGACGTAGAACTGGGAATTTGAATGTGGAACGAATGTGAATGTGGCACGAATGTGAATGTGCCATGAACGTGATTTTGGCACCCCTTACGACACATTTGCCCAACCCTGCGACCAGATTCCTCGATCAAAATCGAAAAGATGGTTCAGTATCTAGAAAAAAAGAAAAACTGCAACACATTACACCCTACAAACAAAACCTCTGAATCAGTGTATCAAGTGGACCCAACTAGAAGGGGGGGGTCACTATTTTGCATGCGGGCTTTAAACCTTGCTTGTACTTGCCATCATCAATCAATTTGAGAAAAACTGAAACGAGAATAAATGAACTATGAATGAAGTGGGTACAAGTACTAACCCTAATTGGGTTGTACCACTTATGGGATACCCCACTACAGCCTACACAAAAGCATAAGCTATAATGTTTTGACACACCCCCATAGGCAAAATGGGGGAGAACAGGGGGTCACAAGACCAGTCAAGCAAAGCAAAACAAAGCAAAGCTCAGGGTGGATCACAAAGTCACCACACAATCCGAGCACAAATACAAGGCCACAAGGCCAGTTCACATGCAGGAGTACATATATATATAAGGCTAGACAAGCAAGAGCAGGTATATATATATATATATATATATATGTAACAATACAAGCAAGGTCAAGAGGTGAGCAAGTGAGGCAAGACAGGGACAAGACCCAACTGAGTGCAGAAGCGCTGATGATCACAAGGCGGAAGTGCTTTGGTGAAAACATCAGCAGTGTTGGCCTCAGAGGCCACGTACGCAAGCCGCAACTGTCCACGCTGCTGTAGCTCACGAGCAAGGAAGTAGCGGAGAGCAATGTGCTTTGTTCTGTGCTCCAGTCGCTGCTCGCGACACAAGGCCAGCAAAGCCTTGTTGTCTACGTACAGCACTGGAGGAGAACGAGGCGGCTCTCCGAGGTCAGTCAGCAGGTAGGTGAGCCAGCGAAGCTCCTATGCAGCCATGGCCCCGGCGTAGATCTCAGCCTCACAACTGGAGCCGAGAACAGAAGACGAGCGAGTAGCCCGCCACGAGACAGAGCCGGAACCAAGGCTGAAGGTGTAAGCCTGTGACGACCGCTGCGTAGCCTGGTCGTCAGCCCAAGAAGCGTCTGCGTGCCCAGTGAGGACCACTGGACTGCGCCCTCCAGGCACTAGCCCCATGCCCGACGTACTGCACAAGTAGCGCAACACCCTCTTCGCTGCAGCCATGTGCTCTGGTCGGTGTCTCCTAGGAGCAACATAGCGTGCGAGAATGCTAAGAGGGTATGCAAGGTCAGGTCGTGTGCAGGTCATCAGGTACATGAGGCAGCCAAAAAGCTCTGGATACGGGCCACTCGACTCTACGGACTCATCCGAAGGCAGAGCTGAGAGCGAGTGGCGAGTAGGCAGAGGAGTGGCCTGAGGCGAGGAGTACGTGAAGCCGAAGCGCTGAAGGACCTGCTGCACCATGTGTGACTGAGTCAGTGTAATGGTGCGGCGTGCTCTGTCCCGGGTGATCTGCAAGCCAAGGTAGATGCGCAGTTCACCCAGGTCTGTACACGTGTGTCTCTTCTGCAGCTCGGACTTCACGTAGGCGAGTCCAGCAGTGTCAGCTGTGGCAAAGACCAAGTCGTCGACGTACACGAGGATGTAGAACGGCGGCAGAGAGGTGTCGGTGCGTAGAAACAGCGACGGGTCGGCAGTAGAAGGAGCAAACCCAAGAGCCGCAAGTGTAGTCCTCAGTGTGTCGTGCCACTCACGTGGCGCCTGGCGGAGACCGTAAACTGGACGCCGGAGGCTCCACTGGGTACCAGGAGGGAACGACTCAGTGAAGCCAGGTGGTCGGCGCAGCCAAATCTCCTCGTGCAGGCTGCCCTGCAAGAAAGCTGTGCTAAAGTCGAGAGAGTGTAGCTCGTAGTCACGATGAGCAGCAACGTGCAGCAGTACCCGAAGAGTGGTCATCTTCGGGGTGGGAGAGAAGGTCTGAAAGTAGTCAACTCCCTGCCGCTGAGTGAAGCCACGAGCCACGTAACGCGCCTTGAAGAGAGGCGGAGAACCCGGCGGCCGCTTCACTCTGAAGATCCACATGCCACTGACGATGTTCGCCCCAGGCGGGGGAACCTCGTCAACGTAGGTGCCTGTGGACTTCCAAGAAGCCATCTCTGTGTCCATAGCTGCCTGCCACTGAGAGGAGTAGGGACCCTCTATCGCCTCCGCGTAGGAGCGCGGAGTCGGGATGTCAAGTGCATCCGGGTCTCCCTCAGGGGTAAGCAGTACGGACACGAGAAGAGGTGAAGTAGCTGCCAGACACTGGAACTCCTCCTGCCTGTCCTCAAGGACGTCCGTGCCAAGGGCACACTCACCCCCGACGGATGGAGGACAGACAGACTCAGACTCAGCGACAAGACTAGCAGCGTAGTCTAGGCGACAGCGAGCAGCAAAGTCGACGAGCTCAGCAACTAGGGCAGACGCAGCAGTGGACTCGAAAGAAGGGTCAGTGACGATAGTAGCCAGGAGACGCGTGACAGTAGGACTGGCAGCACGAAGAGAGTCCGACTCCGGGTCGGCTAGAGCAGGAAGAGAGGACTCAGGAGGAGAAGGCAAAGGGGCACGCAGAGGAGCAGTGGACGGACGCAGAGACATTCGGTGCGTGCCAGGGACAGGAGGAGGACGCTGACGCGAACCACGACCACTAGCGCGAGCAGGACGGACAGGTGACGTAGGGCAAGACGCAGGCTTAGACGCTCAGCAAGACCTCCAGTAGGACCAGTGTAGGGAGAAGGAGCAGGCAAAGGGGAGGTAGGCTGCAACTGTAACTGTGACGGGACAAGCTGTGGACACTCTAAGGGAGGAGGAGGACCAGTAGAAGGTGGAAGACCAAGAACCTGCTGCAGGAGTGGAACGAAGTACGGTCGAGGCCGCATGGCGATGCCAGACACAGCAGGGACAGCACCAGTACCCCCAGCAGGAGCACCCGCTCCAGCAGCACCTCCAGTAGCTCCAGAACCTCCAGCAGCACCAGGAGTACCCCCAGTAGGACCGCCAGCGGTAGTCTCAGCGCCAACACCCTCAGCAGCACCAGCTCCAGTCGAACTCGCAGGCCCAGCAGCTCCAGTACTCCCAGTACGAGCACCTCCGGGACCCGCGAGAGCAGCACCCTCAGTAGCCGAAGAACCTCCAGCACCAGCAGCACGGCTCCAGCGCCGGGCAAACCACTCGCGCAGCTCCTGTGGAGAGAGTGGCTCCCGCAGAGATGAAGCAACCGGAGAACCTCTAGGCGTAGCACCTCCAAGCTCAGCACCCCCAGGCTCAGCACCCCCAGGTGTAGCACTCCCAGGCACAGCACCCCCAGGCGTAGCACCCCCAGGCACAGCACCCCCAGGCTCAGCACCCCCAGTCTCAGCACCCCCAGTCTCAGCACCCCCAGGCTCAGCACCCGCAGCAGCACCAGAGTCACCAGTAACCTCGACAGGCTCGACTGCGTCTACCTGGGACACACCTGAAGGGGCAGGACCCTGAGGGGGGAGGGGGTCTACCGGGGGGGGACCTGGTACAAGGAAGAGCGGGGGGGGGGGGGAGGGACGGAGTGCGGTAGGGGAAGAGGCGGTAGTAGGGGACCGACTCGTCAAACGTGACGTCATGGGAGGACAGAACACGGTGAGAGGTGGGGTGGTAGAACTGCCACCCAGGCGCGTCAGGGGGGAACCCCAGGAAGACGCAAGGAGCAGCACGAGGGGACAGCTTGTCCGCAGACAAGTCGCGGACAAACGCCCGAGATCCCAAGACCCGGAACGCCGACGCATCGCCAACCTTCCCCGTCCACAGCAAGGCTGGGGAAGTCTCCGGCCTGGAGACCCTGGGGTGTAGGTTGAGCTGATGCGCCGCGTACCTCACCGCAAACGGCCACAGAAAATGGGGAGCAGCCGCATGCATCATAGACGTATGAGCGACGTCCATGACCATGCCAATGCGGCGCTCAGCAATCCCATTTTGCTGCGGAGAGTCCGGAAGCGTGAAGGTCTGACGGATGCCTCGTGCGTGACAGTAGGGCTCTCAGAAGGCCAGAGGAAAACTCTCCGCCTCTGTCCGAGTGCAGACGCAGAACAGAAAAGTCCGAGCCAAAGCTCTGCCTGAGCTGAAGACGAGCTGCGCGGATCCAGTCGATCAGCACCTCAGTGACATCACCTTTGCTGCGCAAGGGGAAGACTGCGGTGTAACGCGAGTAGTCGTCAACAACAAGCAGGAAGTAGCGCTCGTGACCCTATCCACAGACGCGGGCTGGGCCCCACACGTCCATGTGAAGCGTATGCAGCGGGGCCTCTGTCGGAGGAAACTGGGAGGAGTGAGGGGCAGCCCGCTGGCGCCCCTCGACACAGGGGACACAGGTAGGGCCAGGGCCCTGAGGAAGGGGAGGGAGGGACCGGGGGAGACCAGAAACAAGAAGACGGGAGGCTATGCCTCTGAGCCGAAGCAGAGAGGGTTGACCAAGGCGGTGGTGCCAGAGGAGAGGTCTCGTGAGACAGGAGACGACACGAGCAGGGGGCAGACTGAGGACCAGACCTGGACGCTGCAGCAAACACCTGACCCGACGCAGCTACCCTAACAGACTCAACAACTGTAGGAGACGCAGTGGTCAGTGTGTACAGGCTCGACCCCGGCTGACGGGTAAACGTAGCCAGGTGTCGGCCCGTGCTAGCCTCTGTGAAGTGCGTCACCCGCTGACGCGCAGGAGTGAACTGGTGTACTCCCCCATCCTGTAGGTCAGCACCACTCACCAGGTTT